CAGTGCTCAGATTTGAACAGTTTGAGCAATTCTTCCTGCTTTGCACAGGCTTTGCCTTTATGATGAGGTGGATGTGTGAACTGATATGGGTTGCAATAGGGTTTTTTTCCTTGGATGTGTTTTAGCCTGGATGACTTTCTCTGGTATGTGCAGCTGCACAAACAGTGGTGCTGCCTCAGTTGCACTGGCACAGGGGTGGGTGAGTGTGAGCAGCAGAGGAAACAAGGATGAAAGGAGGATCTGTTGTAGCTGGTCCACTGTCCATGGAAATCCTTATCAAGCCCTACATGAAAAAAAGATAATCTGAAGTCAGCTGTTAGAAGTGAAGTAAGAGATGAGGAGTGAAGGAAATGTGAGAAAAGGTTAGAAGAAATTAAGCACTATTAAATTACGTTTCAGTTAAAACATTGCTGTCGATAGTTAGGGAGGAAGGAAGATTGTGTAATAAACAGGACCACTTGGCACTAGTATCATGTCTTGCAAGTGAGATGGACTGGAAGTGGCAGTATGGCTGGATGATAACATTGGTATGATTCGGTTTGGATAATCAATACGATCTTGGGAATAACAGGCTCTCACCTTTATCAATGCTGATTTCATGGTTAAATCATTCTCCATCAAGTAATGAAATGTACAGCTACTGTTTTTGTGAAAACAGTTTGTGTTTTAGCATGTATTGTGCTTTAGCCTAGGAGATTATCCTATTTATGGTGTGGGTGCTTGGCAGTGTGTGTGTGTTTGTGCTTGCCTCAGAAGCAGCATATGGCTTTGGTAGCTCTAAATGTGTGAAATTTCAGAAGTGAACATTCTCTCTGGCAGGACTGGCAAGATTGTTTTTTTCTGAGAGAACCCTAATGAGTTGTCAGCAGATATTTGTATTGTGTGGCCCTGTAGCATCTTCTCATATTCAAAGTAAATTTATATTAACTATTTTATGTCAACATTTTCTCAGGAAGCTGACAGTGAATTTGGAACGAATTCTCTGAAGCTGCCATAATTCCTTCAGCAGAAGTACTAGTACAGAGTTGCATATCTATCAAAATCAGGTTTTATCCAAATCCATAGTGTCTATTGTCTATCTGTCACCTAATCTTCGCTTAAATGTACTTAGTTGTGCAACAGTCACAACTTTACATAAGAGAACTGAGAAGAGGGATAGCTTTTATTGTTGATCATAAATCTTTCATGCTTTTGACACCCTGAACATTTTACAACTTTCCTTCTCACCCTAGCTTTCCAGGTGGCAAAAATGCTGTGGAATCAAGTTGCTGTTGATAGGGGTGCATCAACACTCCCCATTCAGATGAGACTTTTCATCCTCCTTTCCTTAAGACTTGGACATTTTGGTGCTGGCCTGCAAACAGTTGCATCAGCAAAGCTAAGGGTACAGCACTGGAGTTTGCTAGTGGGAATGAATAACTGGTACAGGAAATTCCTAAGGCCATTGTAAAAAATTCTCAGTCAAAAGAAGAAGTGAGAGATGTTGTCCTGCATCTGGCTTGGACAAGGTTGATTTTTGCAGAAGCTGAAAGGGGGCATGGCCAGGAGGTTATTCTGTACCATGTCACATCATGGGGGCAAGAGGGACAAGGAGGTGCTTCCTGGGAGAAGGCATTCCTGGAGGGTATTGGTGGGGACAATGAACTGGAGAGTACCATCCCCAAACCACAGCAGATGTGAAGTTACTTTTTCTAAGCATCTGAGGTATGTGGTTTCTGCTGGAAGCATTTGACCAAAGTGTATAAAGCACAAACAGGTAGTTCACATGTTTTTTTCAGATTTTTTTCCAAGGTAAGTCTGGTATCAGCTGATGCAAAAATACAGCTTAAAATCCCCTAATGATATATTATTTGTGCAATAGGAGTCTTTTTTTCAACCCACTTCTCCATGTGAATTAGCATTGTTGTTACATATGGTGGATGTCTTTGCCCATATCGGTGAGACTATTTTGATAGTGAAGTGCTGAATAATCAACAGTTTTGTTGAAAATCTAAAGCTAAACAAGTGTCTTGTAAACATCCAGGTTTCAGCTATGTAAAATGTCTCTTGAATTAGTAGAACTTCTTTTCTGTTAAATACCATGATGGCACTTTCAAGCAAAATGAATTTTTTATTTCTCATGTAAAGCACTAGGTGGTTTTAGTTTGGAAAACATTTCTTTAAATTAAAGTGAAGTTTCCCGGCAGTATTGCTTGCTAACTGAAACACAGGAAACTTTTTAGTTTGAAATGCCCTGTTACACTGTGATTCTAAATAGATAATGCCTTGAAAGTCCCACTAAATACTAGGAAACAGGTGGATCCTTAGGACGGTGGAGTGTACTCCTTTCCCTACTCCTGACACTTCAGGAAGGAAGCATATCTAAGAGTGTGTATGTGCATGGGCTGTGTTAATGTCCATGGCACATCTGTACCTTCCTGCTGGTTTCCGACTGAGTTTGGCTCAGCCAGGACTCATCTTGCCTCTGCTGAGATTAAATAAGCTCAAACTCTCCTCTGACACCATGCACACATTGCCTCACCTGTTTGTGTGCACATGCCTGGCAAAAACATGACAGGCTCAGGAAACCACTTTATTTTGCCATTCACACTCCCACAACTCCTTCCACAATGGTGATTCTTCTGAGGTTATATCTGCAAAATTTGAGGTGTGGGTACTGACCCAAAAAGTATCTGAAATTCTGGTGAAAGAAAAAACAAGCCAGGAAAAAGCTACAAACCATAAATCCATAGGGATATGGTTTGACTGTCCAGCTTGGACTCAGTCATGCAACACACTGCACATATTCCAGGAGAAGCAGAGTGCCACCAGTGTCATTAAAGCATTCTCCTCTGATGTTAGCCAGAGCCCTGCTGGGTTTCTTTTGGAAAATAGGGCTGTGGTCATTGGAAGGGGGCTGAAGGCGCAGTAGTTATACAGCTGTCAAATTAGTTTGAAATGTTTTGACACAAATGCAAGTTGAATCTAAACGTCCATCTCCATCTCAATGAATTTATTGAGGTTTAAGCAGAAAGCTGTTGGTTTCAATGTTGGCTCTCTGACAACAGGGAATGGAATTCCTTTTGCCTTTCCATTTGCCATTGCTGTTAGTCCTTTAGTGAAAACAAACAGCACCCAAAAGGCAAATTAGCAGACATGTTTTGCATTTCTCCCACTGTGTTGAAAACTGCCATGGATATGAACATATTTAATAATCACCCTGAGACAAGTTTCATCTCATGATGGCTGTCCATGACACTAAGTATTCCATTCAGCTTACTGCTGCCAGGAATTATACCCAGGATATTTGCACTGTGCTATCTCCAGCCCTGATTAGATTTTTTTTGCGCTGCTTGGATTCCTGTAAAAAGCCTGATGTTGGGAATATGACATTATTCCACCCAATTAAGGTGCAGTAATTCTATTGTGAGTGTGTTCAGAAAGTGTCTTGTGAAGCTTCTTTAAACTTGTCTTTGAAATTTCAGATCTGAGGGGGAATTTTATCTGAGCCTTAGTAGCTTTTAACTGCCTTACATTTAAGGTACTTGGAAGTCTGGAGAGATTCTTTTCTTGTGATGCCTCTGTTACTGGAGTTCTTTATTGATGTAAGCTTTAATTTTTCTAAAATTCAATCATAAATACAGGGGTATTTATAGCAGAATACTAGGCTGACAGGGTCAGCCTGACATAAACCCTTCAACTGATGTATCTTTGCAGAAAAAGAACTATTTCCAGACAGACATTGCAAAAATGTGGTTAACTGTGGAGCTTCCTATAAATGCACCAGATAGAGTTTGTTATTTACAAATCAATTACTTTCTTGCCTTGGTTAGAATAAAATGATACACTTCTGTTTTGTGTTCTGGTGCTTTTTGTATTGCTTGAGATTACAAAATCTTCTTCCCCAAGTGGTTATCTCTCTGAATTTTGTTTAGCACTTATTCTACATGTGTTGTTAATTAAATATGCTACAAGTTACTGATGAGACATTGCACACATCTCTGGCCATCTATTCAGCTAATAGGCAGCACTGAATTAGCTGAACTCGTGGTAAGATCCCTCTTCCATCATCCTGTTCTATTGAAAGAAGTCAGAGAATGGCTTGTTTAAAATAGGCCAGAGGAGTCACAATCGCTGCCTTCTTGGTCATTGAAAACAAAAGGAAAGAGAAAGAGGAAATAGGAAAGAGTTGTTTACTCTAAATACACAAAAAATATGGCACAAAAAGTAAATGCCTGATCTGACTACCAAAAACTGTTTCCTGAAAATTTGTTAAGGGTTTTCTAACAGATTGAATGTGAGAGTCTGCCTCTGCCTTCAAATAGAAGCTGTGAAAGCATCACTTGATCAGTCTGAGCTGAATAACATGAGGTGAATACTCTTGGTGACTGGGATTGAATTTACTGACATGAGGTTTCAAAATGAATTCTAGAATGCTTTCTTTTTTTTTTTTTCAGTGTCCAAAGTGCTTTACAATATCAAAGCTGCAATTAAAAATATGCATGTTGCAAAGGATATGAGATAAGAATAATAATAAATAATAAAAGAAAATCACAATCAAAGGAGCAGCGATGGGTCAGGAATTTTCTGCTACAATTCCTTGCTTCTCAGGGGAACCTTCCCTGGCTGCCTCCTACCTTGCCTTGTCCACTTTTGAAATGAAACTTTTTTGTCTAGTGATCCCTGTCAAGCCAGCGGAGATTGTGCTGTAGGTTATCTCTTCATTCTTATAACTAAATGGCAGTAATTTTCTCCCCCTGCTTCAGGTGAGCATAAGCTCACATTGTCAACTCTGTAAAGCACAGATTGTGCAGCTTCCAGATGACAGAGTAGCTGAAATCACAGCTGTTCATGTACCTGTAGCTGTGTAGCATATCCATCACCAGTGCTGTCTCACGCTTTAGCAAGCCAGTTTAACAAGGATGAATCTAAATGAGAGATTCAGAGACCTCGCTCAGCAAACAAAATCCTGGTTTCTCTTGGCTAATGTTCATCCTTGTATTGTTTCCTTGTCTCTGCAGCTTCCTATTGTTGAAAAAATAAGGATCATTGCTCAGAAGGTGTATGGAGCTCAGGATATAGAGTTGTCTCCTGTTGCGCAGTCTCAAGTTGATCGCTACACCCGGCAGGTAAGAGCACCAGGGAATTATGCAGGCTGCTGGATGTGAGTCTTGGGAAGGATCAGGCTTTAAAATGTTCTCAGACTGGAGTGTCAAGCTTTGCTGAAAGGCATGAGCTTACCCATGATGGTAAATGGTGGACATCAGTATGGATTGGTTTAGATTCAATAGAACAGAATGGTTTTAACATTGAGTGATCTCCTGTGAGATATGAACAGTGTTCAGAGTACTTCTGAGATTGTCCATGAAACTCTACTTTCTATGCAGTTTGGGTTACTCTCTTAGACCTGACATCTGCATGTCTGCAAAAGTTGCTGCTAGCAAATATAACCAATTTTAGCATAAGTGTGTTCATCTGTACCTGCAAAAAAGAGTTTGCAAGCACAGTAAGACCTGTGCACAGCTAGGCACATTGGTAATTGGTCCCAATATTTGTAAAATCTTTTGGTTTCTTTCTGTTCCTGTTGCTTTCAAGGAGTTATAGATACTAGAACATGAAATAGATCACCTATCCTAAAGCATGTAGGAGCATGTTACAGTTAGAAAAGTTCTGAAACCATGTGGAAAGGTGAATGCGTATTTTGTAGTAGAATGGCTTCAGGACATAAATGTGGCTGGAGCCTTTCTGTCAGAAAGTAGAAACAATATGTCCAGGAAAAATTCCTGAGTAAACTTCAGCAGCTTGGTCAGACAAGCAGAAGTCCTTGGTCAGACAGGTAGACAGCCATCTTCCCTATAATGCAAACTTCCTGAGAATTAATTTGAATTTTCTAAATAGAAAAGCAGTTTACTTAGTGTACTTGAAGCAAAATAATCCATACCTTTATTTTTTCCTGCTGTCATTCTCTGATCCATTTTTAGTCTAAATATTAATATATTAGGAAATATTTTCACAACTTCACTAAAGAATTGTCAACACTGGGCTGCAGAAACAATTCCCTGAAGTGCTGCCTCTCCTCCTTGCCCTGTTTGTCAAAGAATTGAACAGAAGAGTGAAAGGTGCCTGACTCAAGATTAATCAATAACCTGGAGACAAATAATGTGTGGGGGGAGCTGCTGAGGCACTTTTCCTGATTTTCTCCCACGTTTTCAGGAACTAGTGCACTGGCATTAGTGAAGGGGGCCATCACTTCATGCAGGTTTTCTCTTGTTTAAAAACAAAGGAGAGCTTTGTTTTTAAATCATCTCTGTTTATCCCCAAGAAGACATTATTCCCTTCAAAAATTTTGGACTCTGAATCCTGGTCTCAAGTTGGTGTCTAGCTAGGTCACAAGAGCCCAAAAGGGAACTGCTGTACGAGAGGTTTCTAGAAGATACTGATAACAAAACAAAAACATAATGTGCCTTTACTGCAATTTTGTGATCGTTTTTCTTTTATTTTGTTTCCCTTTTTTTTGTCAGGGATTTGGAAACCTTCCCATTTGTATGGCAAAAACTCACCTATCCCTCTCCCATCAGCCTGAGAGGAAGGGTGTTCCCACTGGTTTCATTTTGCCGATTACCGAAGTGCGAGCCAGCATTGGAGCTGGATTCATCTACCCTCTGGTAGGAACGGTGAGTGCAAAGTACTCAACTCGGTAACTCCCCTTTCACCCAGCCTGACAGGGAAGTGCATTTCCTGTTTGCCTCTAAAAATAATGTGTAGAACCATGTGAGTTCTTGTTTTTGTATAATAATCTTATCCTCAAAGTTTTTGTAGCTCTACTTCGATAGGAAAAGATAATCAAGAAAATGCAATATCATATTAGAGCTTTGACTATCAGGTCTGAGAGAATGGCTCTTGCTGTTGTTTCTGCTGCTGTTCTTTTTAGGTTAGTCTAGGGTATTTAGGCTCCCTAATGCTGCAGAAAAATTAATATACTTGTTGTTGCCTTTTCTTATTCAAATTGCAGCCTGTAAATAACTAGTTAGATATTATGCCAAATTTCAAATCTTTTATCCATCATTACAAACCATTTAAATGTACTTTGATTAAAGGAATTGTGTTGGGGAATAGGGTATGCTTATAATAATTGCTCTTCAGCTGATGAGCCTGATCTACTCCCAGTCTCTGTGAACATGACTACTAAAAGTAAGTTATGGTGGGAAGGGGTAGATTTTTACTGCAGAAGTAACAGCACATTCCTTCTCCTTTTTTAGAGATTTAAACAATGAGGTGCTAAAAAGAGACGATTGTCATCTGTTCTTCCTACCCATCCTTACAAATACTGACTCAGATTAGGAAGCTCCTGATACTCTTCCCTTACAGGCTTACCGAAGTAGCTGAAAGGTGAATTGGCTCATGTCTTTTGCCAACCATGCATATCTTACTCCAAACAGCAGTGGAATGGCATCTGACATCTCACACTCAGGGTTATTACTTACATGTAGCTGATTCATGGGATGGTGCTAGAGAAGGGATGCAAAAGCCATCGCATTTCCGGAAAGAGTACTCTCCCAGTGTTATCTCATCTTCCCAGAGCACGGGCCGATTTCCTTGTGTAGCAGTACACTTAGGAAAGGTTGAAAGTTTCTAATCTATTGTTTTGAATTCCCTCTGAAACAATCAAGTGTTTGAAACGAGGAAGGAAGTACTTTCTGACCAGGAGGGTTCCTGGAGTTCAGGAAACTGTGTCACTTCAAGTCACTGGACTTGGGGATATGCTTTCCTTCCGCATGACCACATTGTGCACATCCACCAGAAGCAGAGCGCAGCTGTGTATTTAAATTGTGTACGACCAAATTCCGATTACTGGTGACAGGGGTAAAATTTGTCAGAGCCTCTAGTATCTCCTTCATGGCCTGGATTCAAGTTTGCACTGCAAGTTGTGTGTCATGAAGTTATGAGAAGGAGTGCATGTGAGTAATGGGCAGCAACTAATTCAAATCCATGAGGGAGTTATTCTGTTGGATGTCAGAATGAAATATTCTTGGGTTGAGCTTTCTGAATGAGTCACACCCTGCATGCTTTGCTATAAACTAGCTGCAGTTCGGTGTCATAAATCCTTAGAAACTGTCCATAGGAGCAGTATAAACCAAACAAGTTCAAGGATTACCTCTTTCTGTTTCCATTTAGAACCTAAAAATGCAGTTCTTTTGAAGGGCATTTTGTATATGAGATTTCTTTTTGGAGGAGAGTGTAAAAAATATGTCTGAGTTAGTTCGCCTGACTTTGGTGAGAGGTGGTATTAGCTGTGGAACTTCTCCCACATTCTGAGCTGGGAAAGCAGTGTATGTATTCCAAGAGAGTTTGTAGGCGAGGTACTGTATAAACATAAGATCCCCAAGAGGTAAAAATGTAAATACATGGACATCGATCATTGGTTGTTTGGAAAAATATTGCTAGTGCTCAGGAATGTGGGACAGAACACTTCTTGGAACCATCACAATTGCTGCAAGTCAGAATGAATTAATGAATATGAATGTATTTCTAACATTGTTACCACACAGCTCTGTCTTTAGAATTAAATTCATAGCAAGAGGTCCAGTTTGCTCTTTTCAGAGTGGAGAGTTGTGATCATCATAAAAAAAACTTTTATAGTGTAATTGAACCACAACTTTTGAAATCACTTTTCTAATTTGTCACCTTCAGATTTTTATGCATGTTTTTGTCAGCAACTAGGTCTTAGGGTTATTGTTACTTTTTAAGTTGTGCAAGAAGAAATACTTTTGCTGTCTAGTTTCAAAACTGAAAGCCTTCCTTTGTGAGTTCTCTTACCAATAAAGCTATCTGAAAAAGTCTGCAGGAACAAAGCAAGTATAAAAGGGCATGTCCTGAAGGCTTAAAGTGGCTGGAAGTCAATGCAAGGAGTAGAGGGATTACAGAAATCCCAGTGACAGCATATGGTGAAAACATCCAATCATGACAGTGGATTAGATTTCTTTACATACGGAAAAAAAGAAGGAGCAGCATATATAAATTTTTTTCTCTTCCACTGCTTGCTGGCTAACTGTATTAATGGAGAGGTTCCTTAATACCTAAAATACTCAGAGCCTTCTTACAGCTAAGGTTTTTCTGATGGCAGGAAAAAATGCTATTTTTCATTAAAATAGTAGTGATAATTCTGATGCTAATTAAATGTCAAACTCCATTCTCAAAGCATATTTTTTACCGGGTGAACTTCTCGTATTCTAACCTGTCAGAATTTATCAGTAAAGCAGGTTTTTAGAGTTCTGCTCCAATGTAATTGGAAAGAGCATTACAAATGGGAGAGGTAAGTACTGCTGAAACATAATAAACTATCTGCAGTAACAAGCTTTATAGTTTAGCCTTGTCACTAGTACATGCAAAGTGATGAGATTTGTATTAACCCAGCTCTGATACACAGATTTTTTAAGTGATTTTATTTTTTTTTTAAAGCTAAATATTTAGCACATTGTCTTCGTATTCTCTAAGCAATATTTGGTTTGTGTTATGGTTGGCTCCAGTTCCCATACAACATGGAAGTCTTTCCAGGAAAAATGAGCTGAGCCTTATCAGAGGAAATCAGCAGTGAAACAAGAGGTGCATTTAATTAACACTGGCACAGTTTTTATCCAAGTTCCCTGAGACCATGACCCAGAGGGCTACATCACTCTCACAGGTGGACTGTTGACATCATTGCTTGGCTTAACAGAGTGATGGCAGGAAAGCTGCTGGAGTATATGTAGGAAACCAGTGAGGTCATTCACTAGCAATGCTTGGGTGGGGAGTTATTAGATCTTTTGTAGTATGTGTGTTTCTCTCCACACCCACCCAAAAAGCCATAGCAGTTCAGTGCTTTCTCACATTCAGCCACGTTTCCATTGTTCTTTTTCATGTGAGTTGCAAGAATGCAGGAAGGTCACAGAAGTAAAACCTCTTGCCTTTAGCCTTTGGGAAGTGATGCTACCAAATCACTGGTGCAGGAAATAAATCTGTGTTTGAATCACAGTGAGATTTTAAAGAATGTATTACTCTTCTCCAGCCATGCACTTTCATTTCAATGGGTTAAAATTACAGGCAAGGTCACTCTGAAAATATGTGGAGCCTTTGGAGTCATGCCAGCTTCCAAATTCTCACAATGAACTGACATCCTTCAGATATCAACGTATCTGAAGAAAGGTCAACCTATTACAGAAATACTTTTCTCCTCATAGAGGAAGAAGTTGAAGTCTCTGGAACTAGTGCTGAAACTATATCCCCTTGGAATGAACTTTTGGGGTGACCCAGTGTAGCTTGAAATCAGTGTATGGCAGGGACAAAGCTCTAGTTCACTTGTGGGTGAGAGCTAGGACTGTCCTGTCAAAATAGTACCTGGATGTTGTAAGAGGGAAAAGACCTCACAAGTAAATATTTTTATTAATACTTTCAGAAGGAAAATATTGTTCCTCGTTGAACAAATTTCTTCTTTCTTAGTGGTTAAGAGCTTAGCAAGTTTTTAGAGTGTCTCTTGAATATAAGCTGGAGTCCAGGCCACCTGAAGGGAAATTGCAGTTTTTCAGAGGTGCATAATGCTCAGTTTGTCTCCAAACTGTCATTTTGTCACTCTTCTCAGGTGTTTTAATGGGACAGATGAATAATAACTGTTTGATTGCTCAACTCATCCAGGTGATCTGTGTAACACAGGGTAACATTTCAAAAACGTAAATGATGGTGAGGTTTATATTTGCTTTGTTAAACATTTAGCTTACAGTTCAATTTTATAGTGTTTAAAAAGGATTTAAACTCTGCTAGTCAAAAAAAATGTCTCTGGGGATGTGGCACTTGGCACCTGCCTTTGGTGCTGTATAGTTGCTGTGTTGTATCAGTGCTCAGAACAGCTAGTTGTGAAAGCTGGGTGCTCACAGGCTCTTTGGGCTGGGTTTGTGATAACTGCAAGAAGTTTGTAAGCAATGAGCGTAAAGGGAAGCCATGAAGTTCAACTCACATAGGAAAGTAGGTCAACAATTGTTTAGTTCTAAATTGAAAACTGGTAACAGGAATAGAAAAGCTGCCCTCTGTTCAGTGATGTGCCTTTGTATCTATTACAGTAGGTGTCATCCCAGCAAGGGAGAGAGGTTTTCTGAATTACAAAGGGTGCATCATTCCTGTACAGTGACCAGCTGGGCACACATGGAAATGCTGAATGATGTTATACTTGGTGGAAGGCTGATAAATTATTCAGGATAGGGTTGATGGGCTGGGGGTGACCAGATAGATATGATTGATAGCTGGAAGTGAGGGTGAGGACAATCAACTTCAGTTTGTTGTGTCTAAAAGCTAAAGGCTGAGAGGTTAGTTAGTAGGCTGAGGTTAGAGTAATAACAGGAAATCCACTTCTGGCCCTTGGTGGATTGCATGATGTGGTTGTGATGGCATTGGGTTGGCGTGAGAGGGGAGGCTCTCTCTAGATGAGGCAGAAATATTCCTAAGTGAATGGTTTAGCTGAAGGGCTAAGGAAAAAGTTGTAGATTATAATGGAATAGTTTGCCTTTGCAAACATCCCAGGTGTGTGGACTTTGAGGTAGTTAAGATTCAAGGATGGCTGTGGCCATTTGTGGTTAGAAGATGGAAGTAGAAGATTGAGGGCAGGATTGGAAAGATGGGATTGGCTGGAAAGGAAAAAAACTAAGAG